TGTGTCTGTGCAGTGCACAGTACACTCTGTAGATGTGGTTTGCATTTGCTGCAACTTGGTTCTTCACCGCTCTCATCACAAAACGCGTCCTCGTGCCTCCAAAAAATGCTATCATTTAAGCTAAAAGGTTTACACTGAAATCAGCAGTTGATTTAACAGGAAGCAATTTCCTTGATAGTATGCTGTCTTTCAGTGTTTGCACTGAATCTTAGTATTTTGATTGGTTTTTTCGAGATATTTTGTTTTGGTCTAGGGGTGGTTGTGGTTGTAGCTCAGGAATTGGAGCAGGTCATCTACAAATTGGAAGGTTGGTGGTCCGACCCCCAGCTGGTGCAGTCTGTATGCCGGAATATCGTTGGGCGAGATACCGAACTCTGCGTTGGTGCGTTCATCTGAGTGTAAATGTTAGATAGAAAGCACTTAGGTGTAAATAAAAGTGCCTATATGCGTGTGAATGCGTGAATGAGAGGAAAAGGGCTATACATACATATAAAAATCAGTCCATTTAGCATCTATCAAACTTCCTGTGAACCTGGGGCAGATGCTTGTTTCTCTTTCCTGTACTCTGAACTCTTGAGACTTTTATTTGCATGCACCATCAAGCGTCAGAGACATTGACTTTTTGTCTGTGACTTGCAAGTTAAATCCTTTGTTTTTTAGATTTTCCCTTTAAGATGATGAAACCATAGCCTGCAGTGTGTAGTTAATACCCAGCTGGTAAAGAAGAAACTGATAGGGCCCCATCATCAACATCCAGTTGCTGTGTGCCAGCTAACATCTGCCCTGCTGGAATGTCCTTGAACGAGTGAGCAAATTAATCCATCCCAGTTCCAGTGTGCAGAGCTGCGGCTGACACCGTGCTCAGGCGTCCCTGATGGAGGCAACCCATAAGAATTTCCCTGCAGGGATCAATAAAGTTTCACATTATCCTGACATTAACTGTGTCACACGCAGCGGTTCCCCTCGGGGTCTCTGCACCCTGACTGGACCTGCCAAATTATGCGCTGGTAGCTATTCAGATATCTGAGCTAAGGTGTTTCCATGTGTCTACGGCAGCTGTGTGAAGAGAAAGAAGATGATGTTCAGCTGTTTGATGAATTGCAAAATCATCTCAACATTATCAGCGAACAAAAACACTCGTGATGCCAAATCTGGACGGAGAAAATGCCCGTCATTGTTAGACAACAACAACAACAGGTATGCAGTCTGCATGCATGTGCACGCACCCGCACACACACAGAGCTGAGCTGTTACAGCCTTCTATTCCTGTTTGATTAGAAAGACAGATGGTGTCTCTGTCAGCTCACCAGCTCCCAAGGGGTGCTGGTGGAGGCTCTGTATGTGTGCGCCTATATGACTGCAGGAGAAATGGTGAAGGAGCTGCTGTGTGTCTGCAGCGCGAGAGGAAGAAACGCTTCCCACAAGAATGTGCGTGAACACATTCACACATGAGCACACACACACACACAGCGGGAGGCTGTCAGAATGTGCTTCAAAAGCTTTCTTGTGTCCAATTTAGCCTCCTCCACCCTCTCTGTTCTTTCATTCTGTCCCCTCCATTCATTTATTTATATCCCTTTGCTCATCCCCTCATAGCCCAGCAGCCCTGCTCTTCCTCTCCTCTCCTTCTCTCCTCACGCTGAGAGTGGAAGAAAACACTCCGGCTGCGTACCTGGCTCTCCACTCTGCATGCACAGCCAGAGGAACGCAAACACAAAAGCACCTCCATAAAAATAATAGGAGGGGAGCATCTACTCATTCAGCCAGCTGCTATGAGAGGATGCGTCTGTGAAAGCTTGTCGACGATAGGACGTGCAGCTGGGTTACACCACACCGAGGAAGGGCTGAATATTAAACACCCATTCTTCTCACTAAAACAATGAAATGTTCAGGAGAGGCAGCATTGACTGCTGGGCTCAGATTTATAATATTCATAACACACATAAATATTTTTTATAATCCAGGTCAATTTTTTTTAATTTTGCTTTTTCAACAGTTTTAAGTGACTTCACCAATTTTACATTTCAGTGCCGTTAAAAATAATACCGCCCCCTCTGAGTTACACAGTCTGGAAATGTAAATCTTAACTTTGCTTATTTGTTGAAGCCACACTGCTGACATAAGGCAGCAGGGGCAACATTTAAATATCATTAACCACAGTCTCCAACTTTCAAGCTTTTCTAGTGGCACTTCTCTTCTGTCAGTGTAGTTGTTATTATAAAATTATTAATGTTGACTTAGAAAGAGAAGGAGGTTTTTTAAATTATTTGGTCTGAAGTCATACCAGTGATGCCTCTGGATTAAAACAAGGCTCATCTAGCATTTTCATTAAATATATATTTTATAGTATTATAAAACATTGTTTTCTGTAAGGTTTATTCTTTTTTCCTTCAGCTATTTATGTTGAAAGTATATTTCTTGATAAAACAGTGTTTGTGTTTAGGGCTGTTCTATATAAGGATATATATCGGATGACGATATAAAAACGTCTATTGTTTCATTTTACGCTATCGTTTGTTTCGTGGTGTCGCAAAATAAACTGTTTACGGCAATAGTTTTTAATCGTTTTGGTGGTCACTGTAGTGGCTATATTAATTTCTTAAAGTTCTCTCTTTCTCTTATATTTAATATAACCACACTACGGACAAGCGCCTGTTTTTATGCGTTGTGGTTAGCAACAACGACGGTAACAGCATCGCGTGTCCGCTTGTTTATGTTCCACATAAACCTTTCACAATAAA